ATGTTTTGTAAGTGCAGTAACAGTGTGAGTATTTTTAATTAATTTCTGTTCGATGCTTATTCAGGCCTGCAGCCTATGGACGGCTTCTACTGTTGTTCTACACCTGAACACGCCTGTCCCGCTAACACACGCTCACGTGACTCATTAGTTCCGCTTGTAGCTGGCTGTCTACGGTCGCGCCACCATAGGATGTCTATGCGCGCCACAGTCGCGCTGTGCAGCACGGTATTGCGGTGCACTCAACATAACATAACTTATTGCGAGACGCATCCCGTAACAAACATTACAACTGTAAAGTAAAGTTGCAGCATTGAACAAATTATTACGATAGCTCATCATTTTGATTGCTTGATTTTTTCTTGATGCCATCAGCTTAGGAGAACGATGTAGAACTCTAGTGTTTCACCCTCATGATTAGATTCCTGAGTAGTCACCGGTTACTTACTTCTTGCTACTTCTGCAGTACTTAATAGTTGTTACATCAGCTGCTGCTACTGCTTGTGATACTACTAAGTGCGATCGTACACTGTAGCCCGAAGAGGCTGTGCGACTGATTGTCTATACAAAGTATACAACTGTACTATACGATTGTAATACAAAGTGATTAGCAAGACCGTTTCTTGGAGCTACTACTACTGCTGCTACTGCTATTGCTACTGTAATGTTACTCTGCTATATATCTATATATATATATATACTTAGTTGCTATACGTGCCGATAGATGGCGTGTCGGGGGAGAATGGGCCGGCATGTTGGAGTCAGCAGATTAGAAATAAATTGCACTTGAATAGAATTGACGTGTTGGTGATCTTTAAAGTTATAGGGAGCGTTTGTTTGGTCGGATCGATCCGATGGATTCGTTGATCTGACTCTTTGTATGGTCGGATTACTTGATCTCGATCCATCGAACCCGACCCTGCTAGTGAGGCGGATTCGAACGGGATCCAATATGGCGGCCCGCGCCTCAGCCAATCACAGCTTGTTCTTTTTTATGAACCATCCCGTGATAGGTCACAGCGAAACGTGAACCGGCGAAAGTGAGTTTTGCGTTTGTTTGGTCGGATCAGGATCATATGATCTCGATCAGACGGATTCGTCCCAAAGAAACGTGCCCTATATAGACAACTTTTTCTTTTTAGTTTAAAGAGGCGCCGCAATATCTGTAGGAAAACGGTGAATAAGAACAAGTGCCGCAGAGCAACAGCGCTCAACTGACGTGTACTGTAGCCAGGTATTCTTCTGATAAACTCACTGGCAACCGAACAAGTGCGCCCTCCCGCCACCGTGTTCGCGCCCAGAGCATATATCTAGGATACTACTAATACAGATCTAAAATCTATGATAGGCTATACCTACTGGTAGTACAGTAGTAAAGATACAGCTGTGCAACTTTAATGATTTCGCTATATTAACATGTTATCATGGCTATGCGTCGAGCGCGAGCGTAGTGGTGGTGGTGGGGGAGGGGGCTCTAATAGCAAAAGCAGTTCAGTCCTTTGTTAACAGTCAACAAATCCATGTTTAACCCTCCTCTTGAGAATCAAAAGGTTATCAGACACTTACTCTTCGCACGTCAGAGGAAAGTACATTTTATGGTCCTTTCAATAAAATGATAAATACGGTAGGTCAGCGCTGAAACAAAAAAGTTTTGCACTCAGTCCGTTAGACCATGTCCTCAGAAAATGTCTGATATCTGACCTTTCCCCCACTGCCCTTTGACCTCCAATTTCGCGCTGGGTTTACTCCCCATCACACTATACATCGAATATTAAGAGCGTAGGTCAAGATTCCGTTGAGATTTGTGCCGCCATTCCGTATTTCCTCCTATACCTTAAGTTAAGGGGGAAATATTCCCCCTCCGTTGACACATATTGACCTTTGACCATTGACCCCCAAATTTGACATCCCGAGTCCTTTTCGCGATCCCCACCGACGTCCCGAATATCGTGACTGTACGTCGAGCGGTTAAGATTTGTGCCCAACTGTTGACGCACGCACGGACGGACGCACGGATAATTATGCGATTCTACAAGCTGCATCTGACTTCGTCAGCTCAGCTAACAAGTGCCGCAGAGTGAGTGGGCTCATCTGAGGTCTGTTGCTACGGTTATAAACGTAACATTTAAGTCGTGCGTAGTGACACCTTTGTTAGGAGCGCGAGACAGAGAGAGAGACAGAGACAGAGACAGAGACAGAGACAGAGACAGAGAGAGAGAGCGAAAGAGCGAGAGAGCTTCGCTCTTCACCCTACGCACGTGCCATCATATCGTCACCAAGTTACGCACGATTGCGGCATACCTGCTACCAGTGACGTAGCAATTGGGTTGAATATGGCAAGGAGATTGCTCTTGGCTGAAACTGTGTGACCTTGACCCCACGTCATTACAAAACATGTAGCAATCAACGTTGTATGTTGCAAAAATACATCTTTACCCCCAAGAACATCAAAAGTGACCCAGGGGTTCTTACGTTATGATAATTACATGTTTACTAGGCTACGGCGGCCATGTTGGCGGCCATCTTGGAATTTGACACCAGATCGCCATCAAAACAGGTTGGGATGGCTTGGAAGTATCTTACCCTATCATAAATAAAGATAAATGCAGGTAAAATAACTTTTTATAACATATACGATTACATTTTGGTGAGCTTTAGTACGTTTTAGGCACCATTTTGAATCGCGAAATTGACCCTTTTAGAATAAGTTTTCGGCTTGACACGACTCGGCATTGGATTCCCCATTATACTTGAAAATTGTTAAAAATGATAAGAAACCAAAATGGTATTGGTTCCTACCGTGGGTCAGCATATTCTCGGATCTCAACCAGTCTATAAGTTAACTGTAGTGGAAGAAAAAATAAACAAGTATATAATATCATATTGCATACTGAACTATGTGTATACTTAAATGAATGAAATACATTATTGATAAAAATAAACTTACTCAGCGACAGTAATATTAAAATTAAAAATAAGTAGGGCAACTTTTCAAATCCTTGAAAATAATTTCTTATTGATATGGAGCAGCAAAATTCACTATATATGCACAATGCGTGAGGCCTAATGTTTAGGGAAATATTAAGGAATTCTATGATATTGGAATTCTTCAAGTTTGTCAGTGAACATCTGCAAGTATATTTTAAAATCTTTGTCCAAACATTTGCAATATTACGAGAACCTTGTCCCGACTTGGTACAACGTAATTACAATGATGACCAATTTGTATGAAAACCAATTCACCTCACACTATAGTAGCCTGTTGCTGTGTGATTTATGTCTTTGGCAGCTTCTATGCTTCCAAGCCTCAGGTTGATCCAGCTCAATGCAATGTTATCACACTGAGGTGATACGGTTAATGCAATGACAATATGACACCTTGCACACCAGCACTCGTGTTCTGTGTGACTATCATCTGTTCAAATAAAATAAAAGCGATCATATCAGTGTTTTAAATAGAACAGTGCGTGCAAGGAACGTATTTGTCAACTTTTACAACATAAAATCTAGGAAAATAATTTTTTTGGCACAAACACTGGAAATATTATATGTGCTTTTCATAGCAAAATTATACAAAAAGTCATTCAGAAAACACTAATTTTAAATAAATTTGTGATGTAAACATATTAAACAAGAAGCTATGCCATGATGTTTATATTTAATAGATTCATTAGAGACCATTACCATCCCTTTCAGCTGAATTTTCAGTTACACTGGTTTTAATTATCCTGCCGATAATTTGTGTTGTAAATTACTAATTAGACATTTTAGGTAACACAGACATTTAAAACCCATACATGTTCATGATGCATATAATTTACAACTATACCTATGGAAAATTATGGCCGCTTTAGGAAGACAAAAATATCCAACAAACGCACCTGTTATCCTATACAGGGCAATATCACCAACTTTTTGTTTATGTCGCTTGCATCTCCCTAGTTCACGGCATGAAATGCTATTCCAGAGAGACACTACTCCATCGTATTCACCAGCAACAATAAAGTCTCCTAGAAAAGCATTGAAATAATTTCATGATGGGTAACTCTTCCATCAATTCCCTGACATGTGTGCGACTGCTTGAACATCAACACTTCTGTATATACGGTGTAAGTGAACTGGTTCATAGTAATGCTAGTCACCCATGCAGATTACGATGTGGTTCCTGTTCCAGTTACCAGAAATCCAGTTGTTAAAACCTTTTCCACCTACTCTACTCTCCTCAGATATATATAACCTCACGCGCAACGTCGCCGCATCACCTGACGAAGTGTCGCAGTAGCGCACGAAACGTCGTGTTCTTCTATTATCTATTATCTTTTGGACCACCCATTGCGAGACAAACGGGATATAGTAAGCGAGTTTCATTTCCGCAATGGATAATATTTTTAACCTTAAGATTTTTTTATGGAGACAATATAAGAAAAGTGTGTGTGCGCGCGCGCGTGTGTGTGTATGCTTTTTTTCCTTTTTTTTTGGTAAAAAGGGGGGGTCCGGACTCCCTCAACCCCTCTGGATCCGCCCCTGACAGTATCGTGACCGAACGTCGAGCGGTTAAGATTTGTGCCCAACTGTTGACGGACACACGGATCACGGACGGACGCTCATGCGATTCTACAAGCTGCATCCGACTTCGTCAGATGAGCTAAAAATTAGGCTTACCATTCACTCAGGCAATCAACGTTCAGTCTCGAATTATTTCGCTATTTCAACGGTGCCTGCGCCTCTCACTTCCTCATCTGATGCATCTGGTTCATACATGCGCAGGCCAGTTACTACTTCTCCTCCTGTAACCAATTCATCAGTCTCAGAGAACTCGCTATTTTCATTATCATCACTTCCACTTGCCGATTCTGTCAAGAAATCACTGTGCGGTATATCACTTCATTAGTTCACAATGTCAGCCATGTTCTGCAAATGATGACACATTCCCCCGCTAGGCAACTGGGCACAGTTTTCAAACAGAATCTTCGGAAATGTGTAATAGTGAGCCATCTGATCCTGTTTAAGATAAATTGTGGATGCTATCGTGACATTGATCAATGCCCAACATATTATAACAAAATTATTAGAAAAAATAGCATATAAATAGTTGGTTTTTTCCCCCATGTGAATTTTTCGGCATACACACATATAACTAAAGTTAGCAGTATATATAGCACAATCAGGATCAGACAATAGCATTATCATATCAATGATTTCCCCATGAATTTCAGAAAGCAATCGGACAACTCATCCACAATTGTTATTTGGAGTCAATTTAGCGTGTCGTAAGAGCCCCAAATACACAGGAAAACTCAATCAAATCAGATATATACATCACACTAATTACACATGCATGGTACGTCTATGATGGAATTGTCAAAAATAAACACAGCTGGAAATTAAGGCATGTCAGAAGATTTATGGAATGTCGCAAAATAGCTCCGGCTTTGAAAGTTTGCCAGACCCAAAACACAGTAAATGCCTCGCATATAACATTAGCAAGTAGTATCGATAAAAGGCAGTGGCTGGAGGTACGGCAGTTCATTCGCTTTCATACAAACGAGACAAAGATGGCAGCGGATGGCGGCAGACTTCGAAATAACGCCTTGGGAAATAAATTCACGATTTGAGTTTTGATGAGCTAGAAAACACTCGGATTAGGTATGAAATAAACATTATTGTAAACTTTACATCAGAAGATCGCAAAAAATTGTCTCAGCCCTCAAACATACGCCAAAAAGGGGCTTCAACGAACGTTGGCTGCCGTACTTCCAGCCACTTCAAAGATAAAATAATGAAAGATTAAAGATGTTACTATAAAGAGATAATTATACATTATGACTATATTATTAGCTTTTGTTATACGCTGTGGCTATATGCCCCGCAGCCGGGCACGGTCTTCGATTTCCTAAATGCCCGGCAGTTTGAACTCTGTTTGACCTGGGTCGTTCAGATCTTTCTGACAAACCCTAACCCTAACCCTAATTAAATTTAATTAACACTAATAAATTTAATTAAATAAAAATAAATTTTTTTAATTAAATTGTTGTAAATAAATCATGTCAATATTTCCGTTAATTGGAAAACAATAGTTAAACGGATAAAGATAGAAAAATACAGAAAACAGGAAAATAATTAAAAACCAGCCGGGATTTGAACCATCGACCTTTCAGACATAAAGCCAGTGCTTTAACCACTCGACCATACAGGCTTATGTGAAATAGCGCATGCCATATGATATATATGCTAAATAAGCAAACACATGTGTACACGTGTAATTATGGAAAACTGCCGGGCATTTAGGAAATCGCAGACCGTGCCCGGCTGCCGGGCATATAGCCACTGCGTTTGTTATATTATTGTACTCCAGGTTAGCTATAGTACTATAAACGCTTACATTAACTGCCGCTGGGCTATAGCATCAACCATTACGAATGCTCGGGACCAACTTACTCCAGCCAGTCAGCGGGAGCTATGTATTTCCGCATGTGGAGGGGTGGGCGGGTTGTGTTGGTTGTGGACAAAAACATTGTTGTTGTCAAGTAACAAATTAATAATAGTAATTTGTTCATCTTTCATGACAAAACTAATTATATTACAATCTCTTTTGATCGCTTAATTTGTTACTTGACAACAACAATATGTTTTTGTCCACAACCACCCCAACCCGCCCACCCCTCCACGTGCGGAAATACATAGTTCCCGCCGACTGGCGCTGCTGCAGCGCCGCCAGAAATGGCCGTTTCAAGTTCACAAATCGAATGTTTGTTCACAAGAAATACCGCAAGTATACCATTGCAACGATAGTTAGAGGTTCAATTTTAGTAGCGGCTATAACTTAAGACATATTCACTTCGGATAAGAGGCATTAATTGCCTACCACAGATGTTTTATAGCCGGATATAATCGGGAATAAGTTGGTCCATCGCATATGCCCCATGGGTCGTTTTATAGCCCAGCGGCAGTTAATGTAAGCGGGCTATAGTACTAGAGCTAACTCCAGGTAAAATAAATACGTAACCTATTGCCTTGACGGTTGTTATTTTTCTTTGTGAGTTGATAAGCTTAGTGAGTCTCACACAAGACTCAAGCTTCGCACTTCTACACCATGTGCTGTATACTCTTTTCCATAGCTGCTTATTGTTATTAATAGTAATCGAACTAGGAGTTCTGCAACAGCAGTATGTCAATCCAACACCGTTTTTACAATCTACATTCGACTTGCGACTCAAAAGACTAGGCACTTTATAAGTGTCTGATCGGAGAGTTTCATTTGCTAAGCTGGAAAGTTCACTCTCAGCGCGATTGGCAAGACCGTTCACAACGTGAACATTGAATTGTCTGTAATTTAAACATGGGTTCGTCCAGATGACACTGTACTCCTGCATTCGCAGACCCCAGTGTTGACAGAACAGAAACCACACGACGAAAGGTTCGATCTCCGCAAGGACGCAAGCTTTCCAAGCATCTGACCAGGAGGCGATGATATTGTACCAAAAAACGCATGTGTTTTGACAACTGGCAAGAGAACGACCATCGAGTAAACGGAAGACGACCATCAGTGTATTATCAGGCAGATTCGTTATCCGTGTCATTTTGTAGTGAACTTAAATTCGCGCCATGTTTGACAAGGTTGGTGAACAGTTGCATGCCGGGAGCTAGAGCAGGAGTTACTTCCGGTCGCCCGCGAAGTACATTTGTATCAAAGATCATATACAATACATTACATTGTATATAATCTTTGTTTGTATCAGGAGTAGATAATAGGAATCGAATCCCCTATAGGGTATATCCCCTATAGGGTATATCCCCTATAGGGTATATAATAGGGAATTCCCTATTATCTACTCCTGATTTGTATCAAACCATAGGCATAGCCATATAGATATAGAATAAACATTTATTCTATATTGTTTATTCTATATCTATGATCAAACTGCATGCAGTGTATGGAAGGGGATTTGTGTCAAACTGTCAAAATTTAAAGAGATGAGTGGTCGATTCATAATTTCATCACTTCTATCTTGTATCAATTGTACATTGATTGGGGTACCTATCTTGTATTTCACAATGTACTGATTCTCTCTTTGGAATGTGCAGGGAAATCCTGTAGATAAGGAAATTCTGTCTACAAGTTAGCCTTAATTATTTTACTTTCTCTGATTGATAATGACTTTCTAACATATTCTAGTGCTGGTTTTAGTATTTTCGGGTCATCACTTTTCCAATCTTCTACTCGTTTCCCTTTATTATACTCTCCATATAACTTATATGAATATAAATGGTCCAAATTTTGCACCGCGGGCGGTGCGTGTGCTTCATTGCGTCTACCCTAGCTCCTGTGCTTCTAATGTCGTGCAACTGGTTGTGAGAGAGATAGACAGCCAGACAAACACAGAAAGAAAGAGAAGAATTCACACAGAGAGACACAGGGAGAAAGATAGAAGGAAAGAGAGAGAGAGAGAGAACGAGAGAGAGAGAGAGAGAGAGAGAGAGAGAGAGAGAGAGAGATGAGAGAGGAGAGGAGAGAGGAGAGGAGAGAGAGACGAGAGAGAGAGAGAGAGAGAGAGAGAGAGAGAGAGAGAGAGAGAGTGAGTGAGTTAGTGAGGCAGTCAGAGCGAGAGAGAGAGAGAGAGAGGAGAAGGAGAGAGAGACAGCGAAGTGCGGAGAGATAAGAGACAAGGGAGCAGATAAATAATGACGGAAGGCGGCATAATGAGAGAGGGGGAGAGGATGCAGTGAGACAGGACAGAGGAGAGAGGAAAAAGGGAGAAAGCGAAAGAGAGTGCCCAAGCGAGAGAGACAGTGTGAGGAGATCGAGGCGAAAAAAACGATGGATAGATCTATAGATCGAGAGAAAAAGAGAGAGAGAGACGCAAGAGTGAGACACCACACACACACCCACACACACACACACACACACACACACACACACACACACACACACACACACACACCCAGCACACACACACACACCACCACCACACACACACACACACACACACACACACACACACACACACTACAGCGACGAACCTTAACTCGGAGTTAAGCGTCTACACGGGGTCTTTAACTCGAGTTTACCTTAATTCGAGTTAAGGCCCGTGTTAGACGCTATAACTCGAGTTAGCTTAACCTCCACGATATGGCGCTAGCACTAGTACGTGTACGTACTACACGCACGCACACGACTCATGCACGCACGTGTTTACGTGCACCGATGCATCGACGCACGCACGTGTACGTGCACAACGGCATGCGCGCAACGCACGCCTACGTGCTACATGCACACGCGCGCACGCACGCATCCGCACGCACGCATCGCAACGCCCACGCCACGAACTGTGTAACTGACCCAACGCCCGCGCAACATCGACAGGCCCGAACTTCCGAGCAAAGGGCCGCGAAATCCCCAACATCGCACACCCACATCAACACAAGATAAGAAAGGCTCCAGCGCATCACGGGCAGATCGAACCACGAGAACAAACAGACCACGGCACGCACGTGTAGTGACACGCACGCACGTCTACGTGGACATGCATGCACGCACGCACGTGTACCTGCACAAACACACCCACGTACGCACGCTTAACACTGCACCACGTTGTACCTGCCACAAGGCACGCACGCACGCCACGAACGCTGTACGCTGCACACGGCGCGACACACGGCACGCACGCACGGCAACTGTAGTTACGTGCACACACACGGACGGCACGCTCACGCATGCACGCACAGCTGTACGTGCACACGCACCGCATGCACGCACGTGTAGGTACGACACGCACGCACGCAAGCACGGCGCTACGTGTACGCTGCACAGCACGCCGCACGAACTGCACGGCACAGTGTTACGTGGCACACGCACGCATGCACGCACGTGTACCGTTGGCACACGCGCACGCACGAACGCGTGGATGTACGTACACCGCGCACGGTTTAACATATACACGCACGCACGCATGCATAATAAATCGCGTAATAACCTTCCTGTCGGGTGTGTCGTGTAGACGCTACATAATCGCCTAACTCGAGTTAACGCTTTACTCGAGTTAGACTTACACTCGAGTTCAAGGTTCGTCGTTGTAGACGAGCTAGAGACTTCACAAACCCGCACACCAACACAGGGTGAAAGAGGAGATAATCGAAAGAGAAACAGACAGAGAGCGACGGAGACATGACACACAATGCGCACCGTTCGCACTTACGCAATCACGCACGCGCGCCACGCACGCACGCCGCACGCACGACACGCAGCGACGCCACACACACCACACACACACACACACTGACACACACACACACACACACACACACACACACACACACACACACACACACACACACACACACACACACACACACACACACACACACACACACACACACACACACACACACACACACACGTGCGCGCGCCGTGTAAAATGCTGCAGCTGAGCTGATGCTGAGTGCGATTATTGATCATACACGCTCGCGCTCGTAACGGAAAACGCTTGGCGCAAATGTCGCCTAGCTACCAAACACTGCGAACAAACTACAGCATAACATCAGCGTTCGCAACGCGTCGCGATAGTGCCATCACAGAAACATTGTCACTGGGTAAAAGAGATGAGACGCGGGCGACAGCTTGTTCGTTATTTCGCTGCATGGAGACGGGATCACAGAAACTAGCAATTTGCTGTAATGGAAAGCGACTAATTTCTCTAGTTGCTTATAACGGCAGATCTTTTTGGCCTGATCGCTATTTTGGACAGACGAGGTAAGCTTCTTTATTTTACTAATATCTATTTTTAAGTAATTCAATGTTCAGCCCTGAAATGCTGCAAGGAATTAATATATATATATATATATACTTGTATTATTGGCGGCGATTTGACGGGCTGCCTTTTTCGTATCCAGATGAATTATAAACGTGTAGATGATCACCATGCTTGCATTGCACGATAATTACAGATGTAGCTTTCTATAAACAGCGATAAATAGTGGGTAGACAGTAGGTATAGGCCTACTATCACACACATTATTAGCACGTTACACCGTTTTTCTTTGCTACCGATGCCTATTATCATTGCGTTGCGTAGTGACGGGACCATTAACGTCAATATGAATGACATCAGGTGTAATTAAAATAATAGCAGACTGAGCATCACTGATGTAAATGCAGACTGCACGTACAGCACCAATATAATGAACTGGAGTATGGTAATTACAGACTTAAGTAGACTAAGATAACAGACTGAACGGGAAGTACGATAATAACCCACGATGACATTAATATGAATGTCGTGCCTGAATTTATAAGATACGCCATCTAGTCATATGTTAACTAACTGAGTGAGTAAAGGCTTAACGCTGGTTCTGCTTCCTAACGCATGGCACGATACCATCTGATTAAATGTTCACACGACACGATCACATTTTCTGCCTACATCCACATCACCATAAAGTTTACCCCATAGAATATAGCATCAGTCGTATCGACTGTTTTTCTACAATATTGAGTTTGACATGTAAATTAATTACTACCAATTTATTTTTATTAATTAAAATTAATAAAATTTAAATATTAATATAAATTGCCATGCTATAAAATTAATAGGAAACGATGGAATTTGTTTTATTGCAATGAAGTGGACTCTGCCTTTGTTGCTTGCCACTAGCTTGAGTATTATGTGACCTCAGATTGAAAATATGATCAGAGAAAATTATGTCATGCACTAGGCCTACTGATGAAACGACATAACTTGGTATAATTTTGTAAACCTTATGTGTAGGTAAACTAACACGGGCTGTTCATGCAATAACGTACGCAGCTTCTAAGCGCCGACGTCATACGGGGAGCACTGAGGTAGGCCCCCTACCTAACATTGCACAGACGGAGCAATTCACATTTTTGCGGCAGGTTATCAAACTTAAGCGGAAAATTTAGATTTTATCTGCGTTGTTTTAACGCATAACTGCACGACCGAGCGAACAATAACATGATAATGGGGTACTAATAATAAAACGGCGATCAAATTCAAATTATGCTACGAATGGAACACGGCAAGGCTTTTAGTGGAAAGATTGAGAAAACATAATTGCATTTTGTGTCATAGTGGCTTCTATTATTATTTGGTTATAAGATTACACGGTTATACCCATCGGCTATATATATCCTATAGCCAATGACCATAAAATACAATGTAGCGCGCGCGACGGTAGCATATGTTGGTGCAACACTCTGCCGAGGTACTGACGTCATACTGACGTCACTGCATGTACTACTTAAAACACGTCGGATGCAAAATGCTATTTCACCGTTTATATGACCTACCGGGCGTCACCATTTGTAAAATATGTTACGCGGCAGTGCGATGGATTTGCGAGAGTAATGTGTGCACAAACACATAGGTGTCCATGCATTCTAAAATTCCCAATCTGTTTTGAGTTCTGGTTTTTAGCTCTGCAACCATAGATCACAAGGACTAAGGTGCCTTGCTGGGAAGGGGGCTAGAGGCTAACTAAAACTAGACGACTATTTTATCTACATTTTAAAGTTTAAAATGGAATCTTAATCATTTTTAGCAGGAGATAATTGTGGCTCGAGTAACATGCAGATGAAAGCGATATTTGTTTCTTCTTG